TTCCCCCGGCCCGTTTCACTCCCCGCCTCTCGGCTGCTGTACCCCAAAGATCCCTGTCTGCCGCCCTCCTGTGTCCCCACCCTGTTGCCCGTCACTCCCATCCCACTGCAAACCGTCATTCTCACCCAGTGCCCACCATCACCTTCACCCCATTGCCCACTGTCACTCCCACTCCACTGCCCACTGTCACTTTCACGACACTGTCCACCATCGTTTTCACCCCACCACCTACTTCTACCCTCACCCTATTGCTTACCATTGCTCTCATCCTACTGCCCATTGATTCCCCTCTTAGCTTCCTCCTTCTGCAACCTTCCCCTTCTCAGCTGTTCTTTCCCTCACAGTTCACTCTACTAGATTTGCCCTAAAGTCCTGAACCTAGCACAGCAAACCCTCCCCAGAATCTTTTCCTTCTTCCAGCTAGTGATCCCCACTTTCCTCTCCATTTCTTACGTTGTCATCAGAACTCGCCCTCCCTACTGCATTTCTGCTCCTTCCCATGCAAACTGGAGAGGCCAGGCCACCTTCCTGCTTTGCTTCTTCTGCAGCACCGCAGCACTGTGAGCACCAGTGCAGCCCTGGCACTGCCAAAGCCACGGGGCAGCAAGGCACAGTCCCCTCCCAGGGTTTCTTCTGCCTTCTGTACCTGCCTGGCACAGATGGCTGCTAGAAGCCTTCACTGATGCTCTGGTCATTTTCATTGTAGCTGAAATGCTACACTGAGAGCCAAATCCTTTTTTTTTTTTTTTTCTCCTCTCTGTCAAAAACAGGCAGTAATTTTTACATGGGTTTTAGTTTGGATCTAGGGTTCAGTAGATGTGAATTCAAGCTAGAAGATAGTCCAACTATCCTGATACATGCTTAACCCACACTCTTGTTATGGGGTTTAGCAATAGGATTGGAACGGGTCTCTCACTGATGAGAACAGAGCCCTTTCTGTTCTCTGTCTTCCTCTGCAACAGTTGTGCAGATGCTGGCACTCCGGTGGAGGTGGGATTTCAGCCTCTTGCCAGGGAATGCAAACCCTTTTGTTCAAGCACTACAGTGAAACAAAAAAACTTTCTCAGGCAGGCATGAGTCACAGGCTTACATGTCTCTGAGCAGGCAGGACTCTGAAGGGTCAGTAAAGAAATGACGGTGATCATGGCAAGCTCTTAGCATTTTTCATCCTCAGTGCTTTCCAGCAAAGAACGTGAAATACTTGTAAACAAGTGACTAAGGAAGTGTAATCTCTTCATTTTGAATTTGCTGACAAATAGCCGGGACGGCCAATGACAAGGCACTTGGCTGAAAAGAATGCCAATATGGGGTTTAGCATACATTTTAACTCAGATGATAGCCACTGTGAATGCTCGGGGGATATGCAGTGATGAGTCATGCACTCAGCTGCTTTAACATCTACCTCTGGTGTACATCTGTGTTTTTTTAATACCTAGCAGTTACAAACTGGAGGGAGCAGTTTTAAACATCTGTGTTTGTTTTTCTGCTAGGAGCTTCTTGTCAGTTGTTGTAGCAAATGCCATAGCATTTATTGTGAAGTCTGTCTTATGCTTGCTCAAGAAAACTATAAATATTTTACTAAATTATACACTACAGGTTAAAAACTTGCATATTCTGTTCTCTGCTGATGGAGAAGAGTGCAGATCACAAGCAAGGATTGTCTTGGGGAAGAACTAATTATTCTGAGAAGTAACCTAATTCTGTGGAATGCGAAGCAGCCTGCAGTTCAGATTCCCAGTTCTGCTCTGGTTCACTTGTGCTGGTACTTCAGATGGGGGCAAAACCTGTCTGAAAAGCCCCTGGGGAATTCCCTGTGTGCAGTGCAAAAAGCTGGCTGTGTAACAATGCCCACCTCTTGGGACATCGGGACACCCAGAGACAAGTGAGGGGGGACACACCTGCCATCACACCCTCCTGAAATACAACACTTATTTTCTTGGGGAAATTCTTTTGGAAAAGTTCTTACCTGCATCTAGTTAACTGATCCCACCGTATTTGAACTGGATTTCATGCATATTCTTAGAAATAATCCTTAACACACATTGTTTGCATTACTGATCACATGCAGTAATTCTTAATGCTTCCAAAAGAAGGGTAAGCAAACTGCAAATGCTGGTGTTGGACAGTTTTCCTATATTGCTCTGCCAGTGCAGTTACTTATGGCATATACTTTGATAGCAGTGAGGCATCACTAAACAGAAGCTCCCATTGTGCCAGCTGCCATACAGACAAGATGATCAGTGCCTCCAACAGTTTACTGCAAAGCACCTGCAGACATGGTTGGTCCTCGGGTCTGTAAGGGAGACGAAGGTAAATCAGGGATTCACCCGGTTCTTCTTAAGGTTCTTTTGAGGGAGGTTAGCTGTTATTTAGAGCAGCCCACTGCTTTGGTCAATGTGTGTCACATCTGCTTTGCTGTGATTTGTTTGTTTTTTTTTTCCTGTATTTAAATGCAACACAGTTAATTTAAATAATGGAACTGAGTTTACAAGGCAGTGCTGCAAAGATTGAGAGTTTATTTCAGGAAATTGGAGACATACTACTATGGGCATTCTTCAGTTAAATTAACTCACTTTTTAGTATACCATTATATTAACTAGAAACATTCTGTTTCTAATACATTCCTTGAAAATAAAATTATTCTTTTTCTTCTTCCTGAGGAAGCTACATGTATTTTCAAACTTACTACCATTGCAGTGTAGTCTTTAGTCCTGGAACAAAAGTAATTCAAAATTAGATAAAGCTTTTAGAAGAAGTTTGGTTCATCTGGTAAAGATCAGTAGGATCATAATGAGAAGAAACACTGTGACTGAATTAAAGTCATCCTAAAGTCATAGGCTGATGTGATTAATGCATCTTCTAATTGATTTTCAGAAACAAAATTACTCGGTGGCCATCCATATTTAACAATGGCATGGGAGCACTGTTCCGAGTTACAAGGGACTTTGTAACCTGTATGTTATGTACAAGGAGGGGAGAAAACAAGAATTGCCTTTTCAGTAATGCTTGTATTGATTTTTGTACCTATCAGATAAAGATGATACAATTAGTTAGGCATTTAACATGCACTGTAGCACACACCCATCATGAACAGGCCGATGCGATGCAAGGAGTGTGCAGCCACACAAATCCCCATTCAGCTCTACGGAGCAGGAAAGCTGCTTCCCTTCACTTAGTGCACAGGAAGAAGGCAGGCTCCCTCCTGAAACAATATCAGCTTGCTCCTCTGACAAAGGCACACACAGACAGGCTGGTTTGGGCACATCCATTAACTACGGCCTTGAGAAGGGAGGGTTCAGAGTCTCCCATGACAGAGAAGCAGGGAGAAAAGGCAGCAGTGGCAAGCTCAAACAGCAGAAGAAAAACAAAGAGCTTTAGGCAGAAAGATAAGACACGTGAATAAAGACAGATGCAGAGCTGGGCTGAAGGGTTCAGTCTACCTTCAGTCAAAGTCACAGGCAGATCTGCCAGGTTCCTAATACACAGCTAGTTCTGCTTCCCACTTCCAGCCAGCATCTCCTCTGAAGGGTCTGCAGTAAGGGCCATCCTTACTTACACCGTTGCCATCTTCCCCATTTTAGAAGGAAGGCTGCTGTTTCAGCATTACTTTTTCACCCTGATCCCACCCTGTCCCTAGCTGAAGGCTTTCACTCTGCTAAAGGAAATACTCTCCTCTCCCTCCCTTCCCACAGAAAATGAATTATGGTGCTGCCAGTAACACATTCCCTTCACAATGCTAGTTTTAAGATGTGTAAGTAGCTGAATCAAAATGTTCTGTACATGGGAAGAGGTTATTTCTAGAATAATTTAGGATCGTCATGGAAATAACTGGAGCAATGGAAATTTGAACATCCTTTATGTGTAAGCTGGGTAACATCAAACTTCACTTGTCACCAGCTCCTCATCCTGACCTGAAGAACTTGGAGGACCTGGAGATCCTGAAGCACCATGAGGTTTATTCTTCTAAGAAAATGACAAGTAATGGAGTTAAAAACTTCAGCTTGCTTTTAGAATCTGATCTTTCAGCATTTACCAAAGAGTATAATGATGTCAGTGGATTCTCTGATTGTGAAAGAACAGAGTCTGGTTTTGTCTAAGGTCTGTGCTTGGTACCTTGTTTCCGATAGAGTCTTTGAATTCTCCGAAGTGCTCTGCTAGACTGTACTCAATTTGAGGGATTTCCTGAGTGATGCAGTTTGTCTATTTACTAAACCCCATCAGCCTCTCGTTCAGTGCTTGTTCAGTCTGCTGTGGAATACAGATAGCCTTTTTGCATTCATAACATCTTTCCCAAGCAGTTCTACAAGCCCACCAGCTGTTGCTTGGAGAGCCCTTTTTTCTGTTTGTTTATTTCTTTCAAATCTAACTCTTAGCTACATTTGGCAACCCTGGGCTTTTGTACTTGAAGCCTTAACTGTGGATATTTATCTGCTCTGTCTGGGGCACTCATGATTTTGTATACCTCTGTCACATCTCCATCAAGTTTTCTCTTTTCCAGTCTGCAGTGTTGTAGCCAAGTCAGAAATCCTTGTTTCCTGGTCTTTATGATCACTGAGATGGTGCTTATGCTGTAGGAGAAAAGTGCCTCGTTTTGAGGGTTTTTCTTTCAGTCATCAGATAAAGTTTGCTGAGGAATACCTTTTTAAAACACATCAACACAGCAACACGTGATACAACATAACTCCACATTAAAATGCTCAGTAGATAATGCGTTGCTTTTTCAGGTTTTTTTTTACTTCACTTACTAATTTTACTTCAACTGCTCATACATTTCTATAGCATAAATGTTATACCATGTTATATTTTTCTTTAAAATTGGTTAGGCTGCTTTCCACTGTTCCAAACCAGATCCCATTTTTGTCATGCATTTTTTCTCTAAAATCACCTGAGTTATTTGGATTTACTCATCTATGTTTGCAACTTCTCTACTGCCAAAAAAAAAAAAAAAAAAAAAAAAAACCCAAACCCACCAACAAAAAACAATTAAGAAAACCTGAAACTGATCTTTGTGGTATCTTTATTCAATACTTCACAAAATACAACACCTTTTATTTATGGTCACTTTTCATATCCAGGCTGTTGGAATCAATCTGAGGGTAAGCTCGTGTTGTGTTCACATTCAGACTCTTTGCAGACCTGCTCCATGGACTGTTGCTGGGAATGCAGAAAAGATCTTTCTGAAATATTTGGAAAACAAACCCTCCCTATTACCTAAATAAAACAATTTCAAATGCAGTTTGCTGTGACTAAATGAAGTTATGTCGAGAAATCTAAGCCTTATCTGTGCACTTACCTATCTGTAATGTGACTACTGCTCTTAATTATACTTCAGTGTTCAAACTGTTAGAAAACGCTGCATGAGATGTGATTAACTGAAAATCAGAGGGAGCTCCTTTAATGGAAGATATTTGTTGTGTAGAGTTAATCCCAATTCAAAATGTTCTGGAGCTGCACTCTCTCCGTAATCATATGATAAAATGGTTCATTCTTGAATATATTATTATTTCAAAAATGACTGTCCATATAGATTTTCTGTCCCATTTCAGTTGGAAAAACGTACACATACACCTTGCTGTATGTTATTGTAACTAATGTTTGCGTCCAGTCCTAGGTAGCCAATCATGTTCTTTAAAATGTCTCTTCTCACCTTTTCCTAAGGTGATTAGACACCTAAAATCTTTTTTTTTTTTTTTTTTTTTTTTTCCCTTCTAGAACATATTCAAAATCTTTTCAGAGAAAGGATCTCCTTCCAAAATTAATTCTAGTGAATGGTCTGGAACAGAGTGAGCTGAAAAGTAGAAAACATCACTATTCTTGGGAGTTTCCTGCCAAAAAAAGAGTAAATGCAATTAATGAAGAGCTTTTCAACCTTCACATGAAAGATCTGCTGGAAGCAGAATTTGTTTTGTCCATGCTGTAAAAAGTTTGTGCCCAGCTCAGCCAATTTTGTGTAGTGCTGCTGGGGAATTTCCTTTCTTAATATGTTACCTGATGACCGCTGCAAGCACAAATAACAGGGATTACCTGTACAGTTCTTGTGGTCAAACAATTTGTCCATAAGGAATACAAAAGGATTCAGGTTTGTGGACATTAGCCTAAATATTTTATTTTGAAATAACCGATTAGAACGAAGATAAATGAATGTTTGTGTGAAACTGGATGAGTCGGAGGTTAAAGCTAACAAGCATTTGACAAAATATATGTAAGTATTATTTTGTGAACACGTGCAACACTTTGCTAACAAAGAGTGTTTTCAGAATACTCAGCATTCAAAATTGGCACCCAAAATGCTGACTTCAAGAATGTTTAGAAAGTGACTTGCATATAAGAAAAAATGAAAAATGAGCATTTAAGTATGGAAAAGTTAATAAATTCCAATCAATTTCAAAAACAGCAAAGATATTTCATAAACTTACAGTAGATTTAACAAAACTGCCCAGTGGAAAAGTATCCTGTTTCCAAATGAAGTGAAGATGTATTTTAATTTCCCTCTTCTGTTCCTTGTTCTTTTCTCTGCAGATCAATAACACGATCTTACTATCGCAATTCTGTCGGCGGCTTGCTGGTCTTCGACATCACCAATCGACGATCTTTTGAACATGTGAAAGACTGGCTGGAAGAAGCAAAAATGCACGTGCAGCCCTTTCAGATTGTATTTCTGTTAGTTGGACATAAATGTGACTTAGTGTCACAGCGTGAGGTTACAAGAGAAGAAGCAGAAAAACTGTCATCTGACTGTGGTATGAAATACATAGAAACCTCAGCAAAAGATGCCACAAATGTCGAAGAGTCCTTTACAATTCTGACACGAGACATCTATGAACTTGTAAAAAAAGGAGAAATCACAATACAAGATGGATGGGAAGGTGTTAAGAGTGGCTTTGTTCCAAATGTTGTACATTCATCAGAGGAAGCTGTAAAGCCCAGAAGACAGTGCATCTGCTGAGTTTGTAGCATGCCAAAGAGCACATCAGGTGTTCAGAAGATGACGCCAACCTAAAGCCAGAATAATAATTCTGAAACAATATTAGATCATGACATAGCTGAATCACAGAATGGTAACTTGCTTTTGTATCCTTCCATCTAATTCATAACTTCATAGAATTTAAAATTTTTTTTCTTTTAGAGAGTACAATTACTGTGTGGTCTTCAGGAAAAGAAATTATATATTGCTAAAGGAAACATTAATCCTATAGCGAGACACATCGAAAGGGCAATAATCATTAAGACAACATCCTCTCTTGGGCTCTGTATTTTGAGTACAGTTTAAAAACAAGCCTTGCTAGGTGAGGATGAGACGAGCTTTTTACTTTCATTCATTCTGCCTTAGTTTTGAACAGGAAAATATCACACCTTATACTTTTTTAATGCAATTCTTTACTCAAGTGCAACATTGCTTATCAACATTAAAGTTTAGTGCATTGTAGAATTTCATAAGAACAATAACTAAATAAAGCAAGTTGAAAGAATGTTCCAATAGCATGGATATGACTTTTGATATGACTATGAATACAAGCCTTACTAAAGAAAAAGAATGTTTTAGAAAAGGTGATTTATTTGTATATCGAAAAGGGGAATAGAAGCAATGAAATTTAACAATGAAATTTACTATTGAATATTTTCTGAATTTCCAATGAAACTAAACGTTTCATTGTTCACATGCAATCCAGCTGCTTTTTGAGTCCTGTACAGAACAGGTTACCCAACTACTTGAGTTCCATTTTGGAAGCCAAGTCCTCAGCTGGATGATGATCATAGCCACACCGATACCTAAAGAATTATGTTAATTTACACAAGTAAGTTCCATATTAGCTTTAAAAAATAGAACTACTTCTATCTAGAAGTAAAAATAAATGTTAAAGTGCTGCAACCCGTGGGGTTCCAGGGTCTGAATTTTAGCAGAGTAAGGATTAGTTTGGTCTCAGCCAGTAAATGTAAATAAAAGTTTTAAAGCCAAAATTGTTAGAGTGTTTGAAGAGGAAAGGATTTCTGAGTTAATACTTGGCTACAAACAGAAAGCTGGAGAAGCACTATTCTAAGAGAGCAACACACAGTAGCTTTTAATAACAATAATAATAGGAAAAATCTGTGGTCGTGTAGCATTTTGCTGAGCTTGAGGTCATCTTCCTACTACTTCTCTGAATATAACTTACAGTAGCTTTACACAAACTATGCCCTATATGTGTAGCACTTAAATACCAAATAAGTCTATGTGTTTTTTTTATCTCTAGTGCTATAATAAGATGACTTGATCTCCAGAGTTGATAAGCATCCACAGTTTATCTGGGCATACTCATAACCTCTGAATATTAAGTCAGTTATCTTCATATGAAGATATATCAGGCTACAGTTCTCTGTTTTTGACACCAGAACAAGTTTATCTAATCTTAATTTTTTCTTCAACAAACATAGAATCAGTTTTCCTTCAGATTACTTGAAGTCTTTTAGCAATCCTTTTGTAAATAGTAATGCAAATTGTTTGATTCCAGTTAATTTATTCATTCAGGGCCACTAAAATTATTGACTTCAAAAGGAACTGAAAGGTTAATTCTTCAATAGCCTGAGTCTTACTTGCACTGAGGCCCAGTTATACTGTCATAGAAGGGTACAGAGGCCTTAATATAAACAGGGATCAGCCTTAATTCATGAGCAATTAAAACAGTTAGCTAATTCTAGTCACATCATGCCACAGAGCAATTGCTGTGAGTCTGATTCTCTATTAAAGTACACTTTTTAGTCATTTACAGCAGTTCCATTTTCGTTTGAGGGCGGTTCAGGCACTCTTTAAGTAAATGTAAATGACTACAGATGCCAAAAGCGAGTGAAGAATCAGGTTGTGTGCATTTGATACTGATTACCCTATTGTACCAGACCCATGTTGTATATCTCAAAAGATTTCTTGGCTGCTTAAGAATATAGAACGGACCAGTGAATAAATCAGAGGCTTAGGAGTCAATAGACTCAAAGCCTACTTCTGGGTCACTGTGTGTTTCTGAGCAAGGCGTTTGCATTTTCTGTGCCTCATGTGTATCTCAAAAATTGAGATAATCGTTCTTCCTGGCATTCGCAAGGACCTTTGAGACCCAATCTGATTGTGTGATCTCTGGTCTGGGCTCTTTTCCGTGTGTGATATCTGTTGTGGAGTGTTTAGCACCATGGGATGTGGATTCTGCTTTTTTCTGCCGTACCAAAAATAATCAGAGATGAAAACAGCTATATAACTACCAGGTATTGCTGTTGTTACAAATCTACATTTCACGTTACTTTCAAGTTAAAATCTTTACTTTAAACTTTTCTTCCTGAATACTCTGAGCTTTTCATTCAATGTCAAAAAAAATCTGCATATGTGGGGCTGGCAGGGAAGGAATAGGGAGAAGGGGTGAGGGGAGAGGAAGTATGCACAGAGAAATAAACAGTCATCAGAACAGAGCCTTAATGATGTCAGCTGTGAATGTTGTACCTCTAGTATCACATTTATTGCAGTGGGAGTGGAATTTTAACCAGATTCAACTGTGTAAGGTGCTGGCATTGCCAGTGCAACGAGAAAAGAAATTCACTGCTTTTTAAAGTACTGTGCACATAGTGGTCTTATTTGTAATTCCTAAAAATGTGGATTAACATGTACATTCAAATGTTGTCTATCTTGATGATGTATTAAACCAATACTGCACCTTCTCACTACACACTTGCACTTAATGAAAATGTCTGATAAACAGGTTACTTGCTGAAATATGTCCTTTTGCATTCATAGGCTTTGCAATAACTATGTAAGTAACTGCTTGAATACGCTGTAGAAGAGATTATAGTTCAGTGCATTTATTTATTTTTTCCCTCAAGGAAGGAACAATATGATGCTTCCCATTAGTACCAGAATGAAATTTCCAGAAATTAAAGAAATCTCTTTTGGCAACCAAACAAAACAACAACAAAACCTTTTTACAAACTGAAGTTTGGTAAATCTAGCTTGGAAAAGGCAAAGCCTCTTAAAATAGGAATTTGTTTGTGGATTCACAGACCCAGCAGATGAATAGATATACTATTTTTATCTTCTCAAATGTTTAGCTTCATTGCTTTAAGTTTGATGAAGAAGAAGTCTTCCTCTGCTCATTTAAATACTTTACACATGAATTCTTCTGATATTTTAGCTTGCTTATAATTCTGTCCTGTGTAGAAAACATAGAATAGCTACACACTTTAAGAGTCAACCCTTTAAAGGTAAGGAAAAACATTTAGAAGTAACTTGCATTCATAGTGTTCATTTATGCCTTCACGATGGAATTTACCTACTGATTCAAGCCTACTGTATATGATTAAATTCCTGGTGGCTTCCCTTGTGCTCATAGAAAAGAGCAGAGGCTTGATGGAGCAGCCAAGTACACAGAGTTGCTGTGCTGAGACCCCCTGTGCTACAGCCAACCTGCGCGTGGTACCCAAACTGCTTGTCTTAGAGCAAAGATGTGTGGATCCACAATGCTCACAGGCACTTCAGTCCCAGCGTTTCAGCTCCCTCACTGTACATGCTTCCTTGCTCTCTCTTTACTTAACTAACATCTGGGGAAGCAATTTTCCCCTAGCTATAGACCCAAGCAAGCAACATCAGCTCCTCCAAGTCTCCAGCCTTGCTTTTCACCCTGGCACAGCCACCTCAGAAGCCTCTTTTCACACTGAAAATAAAGGAGGGCTGAGGTTCTCTGCATGGGGATGGAAGGGGGTGGACTGCCAACCACAAATGTGCTGGGCTGTTTAAGAAATAATCACGCATCAAACCACAATTGTCTATAGCTAGTGTTTGCACTGCTCATTTCTCAGAGTCCAAAGACAATCTTTTATATAAGTTATTGGAATTATAACTCCACAAGAGGAATCTGTAAAATATACAACTCTATCATTTCTAATAATACTTTGCAAATTTTAGCTGTATGCAGCACTATTTACAATGTATTTCATAGAATCATAGAATCACAGAATGGCCTGGGTTGAAAAGGACCTCAGTGATCATTAAATTCAACTCCCTGCTATGTGCAGGGTCGCCAACCAGCAGACCAGGCTGCCCAGAGCCACATCCAGCCTGGCCTTGAATGCCTCCAGGGATGGGGCATCCACAGACTCCTTGGGCAACCTGTTCCAGTGCGTCACCACCCTCTGAGTGAAAAACTTCCTCCTAATATCTAACCTAAACCTCCCCTGTCTCAGCTTAAGACCATTCTCCCTTTTCCTATCACTGTCCACCCTCATAAACAGCCGTTCCCCTTCTGTTTATAAGCTCCCTTCAAGTGCTGGAAGGCCACAATGAGGTCTCCCTGGAGCCTTCTCTTCTCCAAGTTAAACAAGGCCCAGTTCCCTCAACCTTTCCTCACAGGAGAGGAGCTCCAGCCCTCTGATCACCTTGGTGGCCCTCCTCTGGACCCGTTCCAAAAGCTCTACATTTCTTAAGATTAATAATAATATCATTGAATGGAATTAAAACTGGAAGGACTTGATAAAAAAAAAAAAATCATCTTTCTGAACTCAGAGAGAAAAATGAATATGGATGCATGTATATTTACATCCCAGCCCATTTCCAGCAGTAATTCAAGGCCTGGGTTTAGTGACAAGTTGCTTGAGGCTTTCGTTTGTAAACCATCCCTCTACCTATGATGTCATTTCACTCAGCAGTATTTTCTCCTCTGTGAAGCAAATACGGGTGTGGAAAAGCTGGATTTTACTTCTGAGCATGGCAGAACTGTTTATCATGTTCCAGAGTATGTGCAGATCTTATGAAAGTAATGTGACTGAAGACATGCCAACACAGTGTAACATCAAGACTATGAGGTTGTACAGGTTTCTGGAGACAATCTGCTTTGCACAATACTTAATTGCTGGGAATGCAGCCTATGTGTAAAGAAAACTACATTGATTCTGAGATCTCAAAAATAATTTTCTAAGCAGCAATGTGGAAGAGCTGTCTGTACTCACAGAGCTCCTCTCAGCAACTCTTCTCCTTGGAGCTGTTGCTCCTACAAGCAGCCACTGGAACAGGAAATCCAGCAATCTACTGCTCCCCTGGGACCAGTCAGACACTGGGAGTGGCTGGGTGCCAGTCAGTGAGACACTGCACCCACCTGGCAGACTTCTTCCCATTCCCCTGCAGGTCTTCTTTACAGGAAAGAACACCAGAAGTTGTATTTGGCTCTAAGGCAGGACAGTCAATAGGGCAAGAACAACAACTACGATTTTTAAAGTACTGAGGTAAGTACTTTAGTGAGTACTGCTGCACTTGTAAGGGCTCTCAGTTCTGGTTTTCAATGCCAAGCAAACAGAATCATGGAATCCTCAGAGTTGCAAGGGACTTTTAAAGGCCATCTAGTCCTTCTCCCCCGCAGTGAACAGGGGCATCTGTAGCGCAATCAGGTGCTCAGAGCCTTGAAAGTGTGTCCAGGGAACAGGCACTCTCCACCACTCTGGGCCACCTGTTCCAGTGCCTCACCACCTTCACCATGGAAGACTTTTTCCTTGTATCCAACCTAAATCTTCACTCTTTAAGTTTGAAACCATTTCCCTTTGTCCTATCACATAGTTCAGCTACTTAGTCACATTTTACATTGATTTCCTATTTGAAAATAATTACTGTTTATTATTCAGGGAAGAAAAAAAAAAAGCCTCCTCCATGCAGATCATTTCTGTAATTTCCCTTATGTCTGGTCAATGTTAAACACAATGAAACTTGCTCGTTAACATCAAGGCAGAAGCTCAGAAGCCACAAATCTCTGTTCCAGTTAGTTGGACTACTGAAATAGCAACTCCATTTATTTCTCTAGCCATTTCTCAGTGGAAACAGTGTCTGCTTCCCAGAGAATCTTTAAAACCAAGGACAGACAGAGCTCACTGAGTGCTGAAACAGAGTTCAATATGTAAGCAAGTGTCAGAAAAGCACCATATGAAATAGCAACTTTTCATATTATACCCTCTTATGTACCACCACGCTTCACAAATTCTAACTCCCTGAGTACACTGAGCATAAACAGTAAAGTGTTGGATAGCATCCAATCCAATAAAAGGATAGGAGAGGAAAAAGTAGACCAGCTGTAATTCTCTGCAGCAGTGCTCTGCAGCTCTGTGCCTGGGCGTGGAGCAATGGCCACATTTTGTCTAGTGCACACTGTGTGCTTCTCCCCATCTCTTCCTCGGCAAAGCCCTCCCACAGGTTCTGCAGACAGCTGCTCTGCAGCACTCCACCTGGTCCTCGCTGGGACTCACAACAGAAAGCACAAAGGTTTCCACTGAGTAAGATGTGAAGGAACTGTTGTCTAACAGTGTATCAGAGAACAACGAACATCAGTGACAGAGTTATTTAATCTAAAGGACAATGTCAGCATAAGAATGAATGGTTCACTGAGAAATGCACAGGATGGGTGATTGTGGTGGTGCTGAGATGATACCGAGATCTTAAACAATGTTAAGTCATCTCAACTCCCACAAGGCAGGCAATTTTTCCAGAACACTACTGTAATCAGCTGAAAGGCGACATTGAAAGCCCAAATAGTAAACACCAGAAATAAAAGTGTTTCCTTTGTTGTTAAAGTAAAAACACAGAGGAAATTCCATGTGATGGTACTTCTTTTTTTCAGCTGTGGGTGCAGTTGTCTGTCTGTCCTCACCACTTTAAAAGAGCTGTCTTCAGAGACTGCCATGGCATAGGTCATGCTAAGGATTGTGACTGTCCACTGCAGCAATCAATGACACTTTCCTGCTGAAGGAAAGAATGTAAGATCTATTATCCTTACTGAGTAGATCTAGTTTGAGTGGAGAGGAGAATAAAACTGACTAATCACCCATCAAATGCTTATTTCCATTGTAGACTAAGTGAAAATTAGAAGAAAATATGTTTCAGGGAATTAGATGGGAGCATAGCAGTGCGTATTTCTCTCTGATGCAGCTCAGAGTCAGCAGGTTTGCCCCTGGGCTCAATTCAGTCCAAGCCATCTAGGATATTATGCAGGTTATTCATTTCACTGATCAGCCAAATCTTAGTGAGCTATCACTACCAAATCATTCTGAACCCACAAATAGCTCTTGGATTAAATGTCATTCACTCCGTATTTTACAATCCATGCAAAGTATATAAAACTGTAGACCATTGGAGCACCATATACTAATCATAAACTAATATCTTCATTAACCTCAGAATGTAGTAATAGTCCATTTGCAGTAGAATTAAAGCAAATGAGATAGGATTATGTAACACTTTTTACTTTCAAACTGCCCCAAAGTGGCACTAAAATGCCACGATGCAAAACCATGAGGCTCAGAGATGTCTTTATTTCCCAGAAAATAATGTACAGATCTTCAGGGAAAAAAAAATAATAAAAAAATTTAAGAATCTATCTTTATGTAAGGCATGTGAAATGAAATAATCATTATTTTTAATATCAGTTAGAAGTACTGTTCTCCTCTTGTCTCAGAGCTTCTTAGTTATCGTAAAATAATAGAATGGCTGCAGTTGGAGGAGACCTTGAAGATCAGTCCCCAGCCCCCTGCTATGGGCAGGGCTGTCCTGCCCAAGCTCAGGCTGCCCAGATCCCCATCCTACCTGGCACTGAGCCCCTCCAGGGATGGGTATTCACAGACTCTCTGGGCAGCTGTGCCAGTGCTTCACTGCACTCTGAACAAAGAATTTTTTCCTACCGTCAGTCGCTGATCAAGTTGTGCAAAATCAGTTGTTCGAGTGTTGTTCAAATGTTCTTTATTCCTAGGCTGGCACCACTCACAGCTACTGCATGGGAGCGGAGCGGATCAGGGCAGAGTACAATGCTCAGTACTTGTACTTTCATCACCACTCCTTCCAGGCTGAGTGCATGAATGTTACTGCAGTGGCTGTAGGACTTCTAAGGTTGCCTGCAACAAACAAGACCACGGAAAGTACTTAACTGCTGTTATGTCATTATATTTTTGTGCAAGTAAGTTTGCATTAAAAGTGCAAACATGGAGAAATCCATCAGGGTGGTGGATGGAAAGGGAAGTGGGAGAGGAATAGCAGGATCCTGCCCATGCCCCAGCCCCTGTCACAGCACTGAGCTTTCTGTTTCCATCTAGACACCCTGCAAAGGCTTAAAGATCATATCATAGCTTATCATAGAATGGCCTGGATTGAAAAGGACCACAATGATCATCTAGTTTCAATCCCCCTGCTATGTGCAGGATCACCAACCACCAGACCAGGCTGCCCAGAGCCACATCCAGCCTGGCCCTGAATGCCTACAGGGATGGGGCATCCACAGCCTCCTTGGGCAACCTAAGATCTCCTTAAAGAAACAAACATGGCTTTAAAAAATAAATAAACAAGGGTAAATAATATGATAAAGGACATCTTGGCCTTGTATATTTTATAACAGACAAGTACCATTATGGAATAAATCACTTTAAAACTTAATGCTATGGAACATCCCAAATTCATTCAGCTCAAACGCTGTCTAAGCAAAATTAGCAGTTATGAAATTCTAGTGATTTGCATCGTGGTTTTGTACTCTAAGCTTTGCATCAAAGAGAACCGAGAGGAAGTTCTCTATGGTGTACTATTTCTGGCAAATTTCTGTGGGTTTCTTTTTTTTTTCTGGGTAAATGATTTAATTTCTTTTACAAAATAGTTAAAAAACATCACCAAATAGTGGCATTATTACCAAGCATGCACTTAAAAATTAAGAGAAATGATAGAAACTGAAAGGAAAACCAAATCTCACATAATCGGAAACAGTCTCATTTTAAAAAAAGCTTGAGGAAAAGAAGATAAACCAGTTCATGGAGTAGTGGCCAGAAATGTCTGCCTCCATATCACAGCCTACGGAATACCTGCCTGTATCTCAGCTTCTCTGGTTCACAGACATAGGTACCTGTAAAGCAGCACTCATACTGTGGCTGACGCACACATACAATGCACACATTCTACTGATCTTGCCAGAGACCTCATAATGTCAGCACTGCTGTGGAATATGTACACAAGGGACAGTGTGTAATACACTTCCATCTGTATTATCTCATTGTATACGATACATACAATTGCATAATTGCATGCTTTATATATACAATGAATACTGCATATATACTTTAATGAAAGTTACATTTATTCTACATAACAGCAAAGAACAAAAAATTAAAGACTAATTGAAACATTCTGAAACTGGAAATTTTGTCAAATAAGAAACTTTCCAGTACCTCTGTGTTACTTCTCAGTTAAGAGAAGGCCTTAATTAGGCTATTTATTAATTTAATAAGGCTGCAGGCCTTATTTAGTCAACATTACCTAAATTTTCAGAGAGCACAGATTTGTTGAATGCTTTCTTATAGCTTTTCTATAGAGGTAATGCCTTAGGGTCTCTATGCCTTACAGTACAAATTTATCTTCAAATCATATCCTCCACTGTATGCCCCAGAAAAGGCTCAAAAGCACTATCCTCCCCATTTCCCCATGAGAGGTAGAACCCTTAGAGAACAGAGCTGTAGTTGTTAGAAGGCAGGAGAGAGGCCCAGTGCTTGATGCCTAAGGCTGTATCTAGGGTACTTCTTGCCCTGTGTACTGACCCCAGTGGTGGCTGTGAGTCTCTCATTATGCCACTGCCCTTCCATATAGACAATTAGAAAGTCATCAGTGTTTCTCCTGGTAGCTGAGGAAAAAAATGATAGAAATGAAGGAATGGAGGAGGGACAAGAGGCCTTATAGAAGGATTTGGGTAGACTGGGGCCATTGGATAATCAGCAACGGCACAAAATTCAACAAAGTAAAGTGCTGCGTGCTGCACCCAGGATGGATAACACTGGACACTGGCAGACTGGAGCAGAGTGGCTGGGGAGCAGCTCAGCCAGAAGGGACCTGGGGGTGCTGGTGACAGCAGCTCAGCACAAGCCAGCAGTGTGCCCTGGCAGCTAAGGGGCAAACCACCTTTTGGGGGTCATTAAACATAACATGGCCAGCTGGTCAGAAGAGGTGATTCTTCTGCTGTATTTAGTGTTGGTGTGGCCTCACCCTGAGTACTGTGTGTGATACTGGATTCCACAATATGAAAAGGATGTTAAGGTGCTTGAATGCATCCAGAGGGGGGTAACACAACAGGTAACAGGGCTGGAGGCATGTTCTGCGAGGAGAGGCTGAGGACAGTCAGGTGTCCAGTCTGGAGAAGAGGAGGCCAAGTGGTGATCTCAATGCTCCCTGCAGCCCCCTGAGCTGGGGAAGCAGAGGGAGGTGTAGGGTTCTGCTTCTGAGAGCACAGAGCTGCACCAGGGGAGGTTCAGACAGGGCAATAGGAAAAAAAGACCACTGTGAGAGTGGTCAAACACTGGAACATGCTCAGAATGGTTTGGGTTAGAAGAAACCTTCAAGCCCATCCAGTTCAACCCCCCACCATGGGCTGGTTGCCGCCCAGCAGCTGAGGCTGCCCATGGTCCCATCTAACCTGGCACTGAGCACCTGCAGGGATGAGGCACCCGCAGCTCTCTGGTCAGCCTGTGTCAGTGCCTCACCATACTTTGAGTAAAGAATTTCTTCTGACAGTTAACCTAAATCTCTCCTTTTTTTAGTTTAAAGCCATTCCCTCTTATTCTATTGCTATCCTCCCGTGCGAAAAGTCAGTCTTCCTCCCACATATGAGCTCCCTTCAAGTACTGAAAGGCTGCAATGAGGTCTCCCCGGAGCCTTCTCTTCTCCGAGCTAAACAAACCCAAATCCCTCAACTTTGCTTCACAGGAGAGGTGCTCCAGCGCTCTGCTCATCTCTGTGGCTCTCCTCTGGACCCGATCCATCAGGTCCACATCTTTCCTGTACCGAGTCCTCCAAGGCCCAGGAGTAGTATTCCAGATGGGGCCTCACAAGGACAGAGTAGAGAAGGACAGTCCCCCCCCTCTCCTGCTGCCAACCCTCTGCTGATGCAGCCCAGGATGCTGGTGGCCTTCTAGGCTGTGAGCACACACTGCTGGATCATGTGCAGCTTTTTGTTCACCAGGATCCCCAAGTCCTCCACAGAGCTGCTGTCAATGAGTACTTTCCCAATCTGTACTCCTAACTGGGATGTCCCCAATCCAGGTGCAGCACTTCGCATTTGGCCTTGTTGACGTCATTGTAGGTCGACTTCTCAAGCCTGTCCAGTTCTCTTTCCAACTTCTGCTAGGTGGAGAGGAACAACATCAGCCGCACTTTGGCTCAGCGGGGCTACAACCATCCAAGCACCCGCCTCTGTGCACGGTGGGTGGGTGCTGCTGCACATGGTGTGCTGGTGGCAGGGCTGAGACGACAGGAATCCCAAGGCCAGAGGAAAATTGAAATGCTTTCCTTAAGACACGTTTTGGATGAAGGATACCTTTTTAAACAGAAAACTAAAATGATGCCTTCTATAGCCACACGCTGAAAAACCCCACCCAGAAGGTGCCTAAAACCACACGTATCTTATCGAACAGAAAAACCGTGAAGTTAAAAGCGTTCACGAAGAAAGGCGACCACCCCCACCGAGCGCCTTCAGGTCGGGCTGCGCTCGAGGGGGGCGGCGGCGGCCGCCAGGGGGCGCTGCAGGCGGAGCTCCCGCCCGGGCCTCCCTCCGCGCTCGGCGGCGGGGCCGGCTCGGCGGCGCCGCATCATGTGGGCCGGCCCCTTCCATGGAGCCGGGGCTGCTGCCGAGCGCCTCCTGGGCGGACGCCGCCATGAGGCTCTGAGGGGCGGCTGCGTGCGGAGGAGCCAGCCGGTCGCGCCGCCGAGCGCCCCGAGCACGGTGCCGGTCTCGCCTCCGGGCAGGGGAACCCGGAGCCGCGGCCGCTGCTACTGCCGCCGCCGCGGGTCGGGCCGGGCGGGCGGGCGGCCCGCGGCCATGTAAAGCGGCGGCGGCCGGGGGAGAGCCGAGCCGAGTCCAGCCCAGGGAGAGGAGCCGCCGTCGGCGGGGAGGCCCCGCGGGGGGAGATCATGGCGACGTCTA